TAAAATTTGTTTTTATTTCCATTATTTTGGGAGACAGGTTTAAAAAGCTATTTGTTGTTCAGTCGTGTCTGACTCTGCGGACCCCTACGCTGCCACACGCCAGGCTCCACTGTCCTGTATCTCCCTGAGTCTGCTGAAACTCATGCCCATCGAGTCAGTGATGCCATCCAACCATCCTACGCTCTGTCGTCCCCTTCTCCTCCTGCCTTCAGTCTATCCCAGCATCAGGGTCTCTTCCAGTGAGTCAGCTCTTTACATCAGGTGGCCAAAGTATTGGAACTTCAGCATGAGCATCAGTCCTTCCAGTGAATATTCAGGGTTGATTTCCTTTAGGATGGACTGGTTGGATCTCCTTGCAGTCCAAGGGACTGTCAAGAGTCTTCTCCACCACCACAGATCAAAAGCATCAATTCTTTGGCACTCTGCCTTCTTTAAGGTCCAACTCTCACCTTCCATACGTGACTACTGGAAAAACCATAGCTTTGACTAAACAGACCTTTGTCAATAAAGTAATGTCTCTGCTTTTTAATATGCTGTCTAGGTTGGTCATATCTTTTCTTCCAAGGAGCAAGTGTCTTTAAATTTCATGGCTGCAGTCATCATCTGCAGTGATTTTGAAGCCCAAGAAAATAAAGTCTGTCACTGTATCCATTTTTTTTCCATCTATTTGCCATGAAGTGATGGGACCAGATGCCATGATCTTCGCTTTTTGAATGCTGAGTTTTAAGCAAGCTTTTGCAAATGTGAAATAAGACCATGAATATCAATAATTACATTAAATGTAAATGGGTTAAGTGTTCCAACCTAAAATTTACCTGAATGAATACAAAAATAAGACTTATATATATGCTGCCTACAAAAGACCCACTTCAGATATATGGACACATACTGACTGAAAATAACAGGATGGAAACAGTTAGTCCATAGAAATGGAAATCAAAAGAAAGCTGGAATAGCAATACTCATATCAGGCAAAATAGATTTTCAGATAAAGACTGTAACAAGAGACAAAGAAGTATACTACATAAAGGTCATGGGATCTAAGNCCCCACACCACACACGCATATACTCTTTTGTAAAGCATCTTTTTCCGTTATTATTCGTCCCAGCATGCTGAGTGTGGTTCCCGCGCCGTGCGGGGGCCTGGTCTGCCCGCTGTGTACAGAACGGTCGGCACCTGCTACCCCAGCGTCCCGTCCTGCCCTCCTCTCCTCCCACAGCCGCAAGTCTGTTCTGTGTGCTGTGAGTCTGTTTCCGTTTTGTAAATCGGTTCGCTTGCGTCACACTTCAGATTTCACGAGTGATATGTGATATCACATTGGCGATGGCTGTCTTCCTGCCTCACCCACTGTGATGATCTCTAGGGCCACCCACACGGCTGCAAGAGGCGTCAGTTCCTTCTTCGCTGTGGCCGAGTACCACCCCCCTGTGGGTGTGCACCGCGTCTTCCGCCCCCATTCCTCCGTCAGGGGCGTTTAGGTGGCCTCCATGTCTTGGCTGTCGTGCATAGCATTGCTGTGGACACAGACGTGCACGCATCTTCTTTGAATTAAGGTTTTGTCTGAATATATCCCCAGGAGTGGGACTGCGGGGCCATGTGTTGACTCGGTTTTTAGTTTGCTAGGGAACTTCTATGCTGATCCCCCAGTGGCTCGGGGAAGTTTGGTAGTTCTTTAAAATGTCAAATGTAGTCACCGTATGACCCAGCAGCTCCACTCACAGGCATTTATCCCAGAGAGGTGCAAGCACAGAGATGGTCACTGCAGCATCCTCCAGGAAACCAGAGTGGAAGTGACTGATGTCCACAGATGGATAAGTGTGTGAGCAGTGTGGAGGAATATTCCTCGGCCACAGAGAGGCATGAGGTGCTGGAGGTGCTGGCGGCGGCTCCAGGCGGCGCCCTTGCGGACACTGTGCTTGGGGGGAGCAGGATGCCAGGCCCCCTATGGTGTGACTTCGTCTGTGCGAGACGTGTGAACAGGGGAGTCTGCACACAGGCCACGGTGCCCATGCTGGGAGGAGGAGGGAGTGGGGAGCGGCAGGGAGGAGGTGGGGCTCCGTTTTGGTGGAAACGTTCTAACTGGGTCGTGGTGATGGCCGCATGACCCTCTGAATGTACTAAACCACCAGATGGAAGCGTCGAGTGAGTGGATCGCGTGGGTATGAACCGCCTTCAGCCAAGCCTCTAAAGTCAGGGTGGGGGTGAGGGGCCAGGGCAGGGGCTGCTGTGGCCGCGGGGGAGGGCTGGGGGGCTCCGCCTGCTCTTCAGGGCGCGTTTCCGGGTCAGTCGGGGCTGTCGGACCAGCATGGGAAGGAGCTGGGGAGTGGGCGGGGTGCGGCCCTGCCGAAGGGTGGCCGCGCTGCCTCCGCCGAGGACACGGGCTCTTAAACCCTCAGCAGAACCCTGGGTGCTGGGGGAATTGTAAAGTTCCTCTGCCGTTCATCTGATGGCCTGGATCCCCAGGGGTGCGCCCCTGGGTGCCTGCTGTGGCCGGGCAGGGGGCTGTCATGTCCGCCCCACCTGACCTCAGGGGGCCTAACTCTGAGCAGCAGAAACAGCTCGGTGGGGAGGGGAGGGGAGCAGAGTTGAAAAACTCCTAAGAACATTACCTTGAATGAAGACCACCACAAGACTACTTTAGCAGCAAGAACTTGAAAACCACCCAAGCTCAAACAGGGGGTGACTACACAGATGGGGTGCGCGTTACCATGGAGCTGGGCATTATACAGCTGTGTAAGGAAGAAAAGGAAAAAGGTCATGATAAACAAAAATACTTGGGACAAAATTTTACGTGAAAAATGCAGAATACCACACTCCCAGGTGGTGCTCCTGGTAAAGAAGCTGCCTGCCAAGGCAGAAGAGACACGGGTTTGATCCCTGGGTCGGGAAGATCCCCTGGAGGAGGGCGTGGCAGCCCACTGCAGGACTCCTGCCTGGAGAACCCCATGGACAGAGGAGCCTGGTGGGCTGCAGTCCACGGGGTCATGAAGAGCCAGACAAAACTGAGTGACTCATTGGAACAGGAAGTTAACGTGCTGTTTTGGGGAGGGGGCAGGGTTGGTGAGACCCCGACGCAGCCCAGGGAGGGGGCGGCTCCGGGGATGGACGTGGGTGCCGCCTTCCTGGACCAGAGGCTGAAACCCACCCTGGGTGGGTGTGGACGGGGGCCTGTGGCATGGAGCCAAGGGCGGTCTGGAGGGCGGGGTGCCGGGCGCCTCGGTTCTCACTGTGAGCTGGCTCCTCGCCTGGGCAGTGTGCTCGGGTGGAATGAGATTCAGGAAACCCGCGTGGCCTGTGTGCTCTGGGCAAGGGAGGGGGTGCGCAGGCTGCTTCTGCCTCTGTGAATGGGGGTGTGACTGCGGGGGTTCTGCACAGCCCTGGGGGCGCATGCCAGTCGAGGGTGCTGCCGCCCCAGCGGTGCCACTGCTGGAAGAACCCTTGAACTTAGAGGGATTAAGTAAAGAAAAGCTTAAAATTTTTTTTTATTGTAGTTGATTTACAGTATCATGTTTCAGGTGTATCACATCTATTATAATACACAGAGAGCCACGCTTTTTTAGATTCATTCCCACATAAGGCCCTACAGAGTGCCGAGTAGGTCTGTGTGCCACACAGTAGGTCCTTAGACGCCCATTTTACACACGGCAGAGTGTATCTGCCAGTCCCAATCTCCCAGTTTATCCCTCCATCCCTTCTCCCCTTGTTAACCGTGTTTATTTTCTACATCTGTAACTACATTTGTAAGTAAGTTCATTTGTCCCATTTCTTTTACATTCCACACGAGTGATATATTCGTCTTTGTCTGACTTACTTCACTCAGTATGATCCTCTCCGGGTCCACTGACTTCACTGCAGGGTCATCAGTTTGTCCTTTTCAGGGCTGAGTAATACTCCACCGTGTGCACGCACCATGTCCTCTTTATCCACTGCAGTTGATGGACGTTTACGTTGCTTCCACATCTTGGCCGTTGTGAACAGTGCTGCAGTGAACGCTGGGGAGCATGTGTCTTTCCAAATTATGGCTTTCTCCAGGAATATGCCCAGGAGTGGGGTTTCAGGGTCATATGGTAGTTCTGTTTTTAATATTTTAAGGAACCTCCATACTGTTCTCCATAGTGGATGTAACAGTTTGCATTCCCCCCAACAGTGTAGGAGGGTTCCCTTCTTTCCAGGATTCAGTTTGTAGACCTTTTGATGCTGGCCATTCTGACTGGTGTGAGGTGATACCCCACTGGAGTTTAGATTTGTATTTCTCTAACAATTATTGATGGTGAACATTTTTTCATGTGCTTTTTAGCCATCTGTATGTCTTCTTTGAAGAAATGTCTGTTTAGGTCTTCTGCCCCCTTTTAAATTTATTTATGGCGAGTTACATGAGCCATTTGTATATTTTGGAGATTAATCCTTTGTCAGTCTTTGCAAATATTTTCTTCCATTTTGTGGGTTGTCTTTTTGCTTATGGTTTCCTTTGCTGTGCAAAAGTTTTAATTAGGTCTCATTTATTTTTATTCTTACTACTCTAGAAAATGGGTCAAAAAAGATCTTGCTGCAATTTATGTCAAACTTATGTGTATGTTTTCCTTGAAGAGCTTTACAGCTGTCTGGTCTTACATTTAGGTCTTTAATCCATCTTGAGTTGACTTTGTGTTATGGTGTTAGGAAGTGTTCTAGTTTCATCCTTATACATGTAGGTGTCCCGTTTTCCTAGCACCACTTATTGAAGAGGCTGTCTTTGCACCATTGTATATTCTGGCTGGCCTCCTTTGTCAAAGATAAGGTGCCCATAGGTGAGTGGGTTCATCTCTGGAGTTTCTGCCCTGTTCCACTGATCTAGATTTCTGTTTTTCGTGCCAGTGCCATACTGTTTTGATGACTGTAGCTTTGTAGTTTAGTCTGAATTCAAGGAGCCCGATTCCTCCAGCTACATTCTTCTTTCTCAAGATTGCTTTGGCAGTTTGGGGTCTTTTGTGTTTCCGTAAGTTCCAAAATTATAAATTTTTTTGTTCTAATTCTGTGAAAAGTGCTATTGGTAATTTGATAGGGATTGCACTGAACTTAGTCTGTAGATTACTTTGGGCAGTAGAGTCATCTTGACGATATTGATTCTTCTGAGAGCACGACGTGTCTCTCCGTCCATCTGTCTGTCGTTTCTTTCATCAGTGTTTTATAGTTTTCTGAGTGCAGGTCTTTTGCCCCCTTAGGTAGGTTTACTCTTAGGTATTTTATTCTTTTTGATGCGATGGTAAATGGAATTTTCCCCTTCACTTGTCTTTCTGTTCTTTTGTTGTTAATGTATAGGAACCAAGGGATTTCTGTATATTAATTTTGTGCAACGTTAGCTTTAGTGGTTTTCTGGTAGCACTGTTAGGATTTTCTATGTATAGTATCATGTCATCTGTGAACAGTGACAGTTTTACTTCTTCCTTTCCAATTTGGATTCCTTTTATTTCTTGTTCTTCTCTAACTGCCGTAGCTAGGACTTCCAATACTATGTTGAGTAACAGTGGCGAGAGTGGACACCATTGTCTTGGTCCTGATCTTAGAGGTGAGGCTGCGGTTCTTCACCATCAGAAGGATGTTTGCTGTGGGTCTGTCACATGCGGCCTTTGTCTGCAGTCTCAGCTTCTGGAAGAGCCTTCCGCAGCCTGTGGGCAGAGCCATCTGCGCTCGGGCCTCTGGGATGCTCACCCTGCCTCCTTCACCCGCAGCTGTTCCTTCTGCCACCATGAGGAACATCTTCAAGAGGAACCAGGAGCCCATGGTGGCTCCCGCCACCACCGCCATGCCCACCGGCCCAGTGGACAACTCCACAGAGAGCGGGGGTGTGGGCGAGGGCAAGGAAGACGTGTTTGCCATGCTCAAGGAGAGGTTCTTCAACGAGATCGTCAAGCTCCCTCGTGAGTGTCCCTGTGCTGGGCGGGCCATGGGGGTGAGATGGCTGTGGGCTCTCCTAACATTTGGGCTCTAGGCTGGATCATTTGGCGATCGCCTTCAGGACCGGGGGTGGTGGGGGCGGCAGAGTGGTCTGTCACTAATGAAGGGAGCAAGGGAGTTTATGAGCCCTCACCTCCCTGGGCAGAATGTTCTTAACAACGTAGAAGAAGAAGTGAAACCTAAAGATGAAGTCTTCCAGCTACACTTTGAAGTGGTTCTGTTATAAAATAACCCCTCCTCACTAAGGCTTCCCTGATAGCTCAGTAGGTCAAGAATCCGCCTGCGATGCAGGAGACCCTGGTTCAGTTCCTGGGTAGGGGAGACCCCCTGGAGAAGGGAAAGGCGACCACTCCAGTATTCTTGGGCTTTCCTGGTGGCTCAGCTGGCAAAGAATCTGCCCCAGTGAGGGAGACCTGGCTTCGATCCCTGGGTTGGGAAAATACCCTGGAGAAGGGAGTGGCTACCCACTCCAGTAGTTTGGCCTGGAGAATTCCATGGACTGTATAGTCCACGGGGTCACAAAGATTTGGACACAACTGGCTGACTTACACTAACTGCTTCATGGATTCCTGGTGAAGATGGTGAGGACACCCAAGGTCCAGATTTGGGGGGAGCGGCCGAGGGCCAGCCCCACGCCCCCCGAGGTCACCAAGGAGCTCGGCCCTCTCAGCACTGCACACGAAGGCTGCCCCACCCCCATCAGGTCTGACAAGGGCCGTCCCATCCTGCGTGTGAGCCAGTCACGTCTCAGCAGAGCCCGGCTGGGTGCCCGTGAGGGGGGTGACGGGGCCGGGGGGAGATGGGCAGAGCCTGTCTGGGCTTTGACTGTGGGGTGTGGGCTGCCCGGCGGGCACCGCTGAGCCCAGCTCCCCATGGCAGTGCCCCCCTGGGCGCTGATCGCCATCGCCGTGGTCACGGGCCTTCTGCTGCTCACCTGCTGCTTCTGCGTCTGCAAGAAGTGCTGCTGCAAGAAGAAGAAGAACAAGAAGGAGAAGGGCAAGGGTGCCAAGAACGCCATGAACATGAAGGACATGCGGGGCGGCCAGGTAGGGGGCCAGGCTGCGCTGCCGGCAGGGCTGGTCCAGGCCGAGCCCACAGGGGGACGGGGACCTGGCGTTCCCGCCTGCAGGGCCAGTGGGCCAGCCGGGGCCCGGAGAACTGGGCTCCTCTGCCCGTCTCCCGGGGGGCCCAGCCCAGAAAGAGCTCGGAGGTGTCCCCGTGTCTCCTCTTGGGCACCTCACCTTGCTGAAGGAGTCAGCGTGGAGGATGGCAGGAGGGCTGAGCCTGGAGGCCTCAGGGTGTTTGTGGGGGGGACCCGGGAGGCCTCAGCGTGTGTGTGGGGGCCCATGTACAGGGCAGCCCCCGGCTCCACGTGGGCTGGTCTGTGCTGCGGAGTTTCTCACCACCTTCTCTCTTCTCCCTGTGGACGCGCCCGGCCTGGACGCCCGGCCCGCATGCCTGGTACGTGTTTCCCAGGGTGGCGTCCTGCCCAGGGAGGACTGGGGCCCCCGCATCTGTCCCTGATGCCCCCTGCTCTCTCAGCCCCCCAGGATGATGATGATGCGGAGACGGGCCTGACGGAGGGCGAGGGCGAGGGCGAGGAGGAGAAGGAGCCCGAGCACCTGGGCAAGCTGCAGTTCTCCCTGGACTACGACTTCCAGGCCAACCAGGTAGGGGCGGGGGCACGGGCCCAGCTCCAGGGAAGGCCCGGGCGCGGTGCCGGCCTCAGGCGGCTCACCGCCTCCCAGTGTGCATGGCTCCCTGGGGCCTGGGGGGCTGACGGGCGCCCACTGTCTTCACAGCTCACCGTGGGTGTCCTGCAAGCCGCGGAACTGCCCGCCCTGGACATGGGCGGCACCTCAGACCCTTATGTCAAGGTCTTCCTCCTTCCAGACAAGAAGAAGAAATATGAGACCAAAGTCCATCGGAAGACGCTGAACCCCGCCTTCAATGAGACCTTCACCTTCAAGGTGACAGGCAGGGAGGCGTGGCGGACCGTGTCCAGGGCCATGACCCAGGCCCAGAACAGCTTGGCGGGGACCAGAGCCCCAGTCTCTGCCGTGTCCACAGCCTCCGGACGCCCCGGAGCTGCCCTGACACCTTCATCCCAACTGTGCCTTGCAGGTGCCATACCAGGAGCTGGGTGGCAAGACCCTGGTGATGGCCATCTACGACTTCGACCGCTTCTCCAAGCACGACATCATCGGTGAGGTGAAGGTGCCCATGAACACAGTGGACCTGGGGCAGCCCATCGAGGAGTGGCGGGACCTGCAGGGCGGGGAGAAGGAGGAGGTGAGGCGGGCGCGGGGGAGGCAGGGCAGGGCCCCGCAGGTCAGCCGCCCGGCAGGACCACAGGTGCTCCCGTTTCCCCCAGGCTCTGTGCCCACCTGGGGCCTCGTGTGCCCGCAGGGAAGGCCCGCGCTGTCTGAGCGGGCTCTCAGCAGGGGCTTGTCTTCCTGGGAGTGGCTGCAGCACACTTGCTCACACACTCACTGAGATGAGCGCCCACTGTGCACAAAGCCTCCGTTTAGACACTGCCCTCTGAGCACCAGCTGACTGTCACCCAGCCCCTGGGTGCGGGGGAGGTGGCCGGCCTTGGCCCCCGAGGCCTCCTCTGAGACGCTTCGGCTTCGCGCCGTGGCAGTGGTGGAGACAACCGTCCTCTCTGGTCACGAGGCCCCTGCCCTGTGGCACTAACACCAGATGAGAGGTACCAGGGGCTCTGAAAACCACCGCGCACGCTGCAGGCAGGACGGCTGTGATCAGAACAGGGGAGGGCCCACACTCCCTCCGCTCAGCCCCGGGAGGACCCCACAGACCCCACGTCCATTCAGAGCCTCCGGGGCCCCACCGGCATGGTGCCCACAGCTCCAGGGTCCGCCCGCTGCAGGCAGGGCTGGGGTGCCCCTGGCCGAGGCCCCAAGGGGTCAGCCGTGCTGGCGGCTGCTAAGATGACCCGGACCCCGCTCTCCTGGCAGCCGGAGAAGCTGGGCGACATTTGCACCTCATTGCGCTACGTGCCCACGGCCGGGAAGCTCACCGTCTGCATCCTGGAGGCAAAGAACCTGAAGAAGATGGACGTGGGTGGCCTTTCAGGTGCGTGCAGGGCTGCTGGCCGCCACCGGCGGCACCCGAGGTCCACCCGCGGCCCCAGCCCTCAGGCTCCCCCAGGCCGGAGGGCTGACTGCCTGCCCTGGATTCCGCTAGTGCTCGGGGTCTGAATCACCTTGGGCAGCCTGGTTCCTAGCATGCATGTCTCACTGCCCAGATTGGAGGACGGGTGGGGTGGGTCCCAGGTGTGTCCCCGGCCCAGGACAGACGTCACCAGGAGCCCCTCGCCCCTCACCGAGCCCCAGGCTGCGGTGGGTCGTGCAGGCAATGCCTGTGACCACCGTGGCCCCGGGCTGGCGGTCCGGGGTGGGCTCAGGGCCTGCCTGCTGCGCCCCACAGACCCCTATGTGAAGATCCACCTGATGCAGAATGGTAAGAGGCTCAAGAAGAAGAAGACGACGGTGAAGAAGAAGACCCTGAACCCTTACTTCAACGAGTCCTTCAGCTTCGAGATCCCCTTTGAGCAGATCCAGGTGCAGGGCTGGTGGGGCTGGACACGGGGCCGGGGCTCACCGCTGACCCCCGCGGGTGGGTGAACAGATGGCCGCCACCCCAGGGCCTGGATCTGGGCGCTTCCCGAGCTGCCCCTTGTGTGGGCGGCGGGCCTCTCGAGCGTGGGCTCTGTCGCTCTGCAAGGGTGGGTCTGCCCCTCGGGCTCCCCAGGACTGTCTGGGTGGAAGGAGGGGAGGCTGGGGGTGCCACAGAGGACTGCTGCCCACCCTCCCTCCCCGCCTCCCGCAGAAAGTGCAGGTGGTGGTCACCGTGCTGGACTACGACAAGCTGGGCAAGAACGAGGCCATCGGCAAGATCTTCGTGGGCAGCAACGCCACGGGCACGGAGCTGCGGCACTGGTCCGACATGCTGGCCAACCCCCGCCGGCCCATCGCGCAGTGGCACTCGCTCAAGCCTGAGGAGGAGGTGGACGCGCTGCTGGGCAAGAGCAAGTAGGGCCGCGGCCGGGCCGCCGCCGAGACCCAGAGCCACGGGCGCCTCAGCTCTGCCCCCGTCTGTGTGGTCGTGTCCCCGTCCCCTTTTTATAAGGACCCTCCCCTCCGACGGCCGTGGGAGGAGGGCCCTCAGAGGTGGCGCGGCCCGCCCGGCCCGCCCCGGGAGCTGTCCCCGCTGCATGCCCGCGCCCCACTCCTGCGAAGCTGCACCCCAGGCTCACCCCGAGGCAGTGCTCCCGGCCGGCAGTGCGGCCTCTCCTGTTCCCTGAGCGTGTGGCGCCCCGAGACGGCAGCACTGCTTGGCTCCAGACAGGACCGGCACTCCGGCTCCTGGATGGGCGGGGCGCCGTGAGTGGCTGCTTCGGAGGCAAGGCGTGGAGACTGGACTGTGCAGAAGTCACCGCCCCTCAGGCTGGTTTTGGGGACACCACGGACCTGAGCTGGTGGCTGGACTCGCGGGGGGTCTGTCCGTCCTGCCACCTCACCCTGTGGACGGGAGATGTTAGACCGTGAAGACACAGAAGAGCCCCCTCCCAGAGAGACCGCGACGGGCCTGCTGGAGCCTGGCCTCCGGGTGGGAGACGCGGGAGCTGGCCCCCATCTGGGACGAGCGCTGAGCGGAGTCTCCTGCCCGCGCCCGCTTCCTCTTTTAATCTCAGTGGAGCAGCGCGGTCTGTGCGGACACGGGGGCTTCTCGAGGAGGCCCTGTCCTTGGGCCCAGGTGAGCAGGGGGCGGTGGCCGGCTGGCCGAGCGCTCTCAGGGGTGGCCCTCCTGTCACCCCTTCCCCAGTGTCGATAAAAAGCCATATATACGTGAGTCTCGTGTGCATGGAGTCTCCTTCCCCACCCACAGCCTGGGCAGGAGCGGCAGCCCCCGCCACCCCCGGCGGGCTCCCTCCTCCCCTCGCGGCCCCCAGGGCCCGGAGCTGCTCCCCTGTCATCCCGTGTCCCCCACCCAGGCGGATGGCCGTCCTGGGCAGGCTCCCGCCGGAGGAAGACACCAGGGCCCTGCTGCGTATGCGTGCAGTGGGGAGGGGGGCTCAGCCGTGCTCAAGGGCCGCGTCCCGGGGAGCCCCTCTTTACGCGTGGGAAGGGGGTGGCCCTGCCTTCAGGACCGCGTGACCACAGAGCGGCAGGATTCGGTGCTTCCTCAGGACCCCCCCTCCCTGTGCCCAGGACTGGCCTCCGTCCTGATGTGCCTGCTGCTCTGGGGGTCCTGAGCCTGGACGCCGGGCTGGCTGAGGGGCGGGGTGGGGGCAGCAGGGTCCTGCCAGGTGCCGGCTGGGCCCAGAGGAGCCGTCTGAGCAGATGTGTCTGCTGGTGACGCACGCATGCTCCTGTCTCTGCCTGAGGGTCCTGCCCCAGGCCTGTGTCTGAATGTCGGGGGTCGGGGTCCCCCCTCCTTGGAGTGAAGGTCGCCAAGAGGGAAGCAGCAGGGGTGCCTTTCACGGAGGGACTGAGAGTGACAAGTGAAACCAGGCCCCCCGAAACCGGAGGGGGCCGCAAGCTGCTTCCTCCCCGATCCCAAGCAGGGGCTCCCAGCTCCAGGAAGGGCCTCCGACAGTGGCTGGGGGTGTGGGGGTGGGGGCAGGGCCGGTCTCAGCACAGCCTTAGTCCTTCCTCCCAGGAGACCACACATGCTCCTGCTGCGGTGGGCTCTGGGCCCCACAGAAAGGGTTGGGGTCCCCATGGGGGGCTGTGGGGAGCAGGGTTGGAGGAGACCCCCCCCCCGGGTCCTGCAGGGTCTGGGTCAGTTCCCCCCCAGCCCCCCCCGTTGCAGCAGACATGTTGGGGTCCCAGGCCTGATGGTGGTGGCCCTCAGCCCCGCAGGCCAGATGCCAAGTTAAATGTGAGTTTCAGACAAACCACCAGTAACAATGTGTGAGTCCACCCTCAGCGCTGGCCGGGACACTCCCGCATCCACTGGCCTGTGTCTGCTCCGGCGCTGGGCAGCCTCATCCTGCGGCCACTCCTACCCCGCCAGCTGGGGGGCAGGGACAGGTCACCGGGATTGTACCCGTTTTAGAGCTGCAGTGCTGGGAAGGGGACCCTGTGACCTGGAGACAGAACAGGAGCCTTCTGAAGCCAGCCGAGCCTCTGCCCCCGCGCGCGTTCAGCTGCACAAGGCCGCCCCGCCCTGCCCACGCATGTCCAGCTCCACGCCCACAGCCGCATGGCCACCCCCAGAGCCCAGCTCCGCCTCACACCCCCGAGCTGCTCCCTGACCCCGTGTGTGAAGTCCGCGTCTCCCCCAGCTCCCCACGCCCGGGGAGTCGGCCTCGGCCGGCCTGACGCCAAGCCCCACGTCCGTGTGCAGAGCTGCCCCGGTGCCCGGCGTGTGGTCTGCTCCTCCCCCCACTGTCTGAATCACTGAAAAGCCATACGGGGGTCTCCAGGGCCGCCCTCTCGGAGCCCCCGGCCCCTCTGACCAGCTCCCCTCAGGACACTTGTGAAGGGCTCGCCTGCTGTCCCCCCGCCCCCTGCCCCGCGCCCCGCGTCCCGAGGACAGACAGGTGTCCCGGGCTCCTGGTGGGGCCCCAGCGGTGTCCCCCCGGCCCTGCTCCATGTGGGGGCCCGTGGAGACGGCCCGGATGCGTGGGAGCTGTCGGTAGCTGGGCCTGTGGTCGGGTCCTGATGCCCCTGGGTGGACATGCAGCCCTGCTTCTGAGACGCTGGGGGGCTGGGGGCAGGGCCCCGGGCTGGAGAACAGGTGCGCTCAGCTCCCGCCGTTGGGCAGGGACACCCCAGGAGTGGGCAGCCGCGGCTCCTCTGAGGTGGGGGAGCGGGATCCCCGTCCACACCCAGCCCCGCCCCGCCGCCCCCTCGGGAGGAAGAGAGGCAGGAGGGGGACCGCGGACCTTGAGCCCCGAGCCGTCGTGTTGGACCCAGAGGACGGCAGCCCTGCCAGCAGCCCCCGAGTGGGGTGCCCACCCCGGCCAAGGCCACAGCGGGGCATGGCCCCCGCGCTCCACAAACCAGGGGAGGGGGTACGGGCAGGATGGACCCCAGACCCCTCAGAGCAGCCGGGTGTCCTGCCCTGACCCCTCCTGTCCCAGCACCAGCGCTACAGCTTCTGAAGCCCCCAGGCCAGGGTGGGCAGGCCCAGGCCCCTGCAGCGTGCGGCCCACCGGGACCCCCAGCCCGCCTCACAGGAAGGACGCGTGTACAGCCCCCCCACCCCCGCTTGGCAGCGTCCCCCCCCCCCCACGGACTCTGGTCTCTCGTCAATTTGTTCTTTTGTAACGAGCAGCATCTCCTTATTAAAGAAAAGAGCTGAAAGCAAGCTGGGGGTGGGGGTCTCTGCTTGTTCCTGCTGGGCGGGGTGTGGGCATGGCTCTGAGATCCCAGCCCCAGGCTCGGCGCCTGCCTTCAGGGGCTGGGGAGACCAGACCAGGCTCAGGGGGGCGGTGGGTGCACGGGGCCCCCAGGGCAGCTTCTGGCGGGGGGGGCTTCAGGGAGGAGGGGTGGACCAGATCCCCGGTGCGCCACGCCCCTTCCCCCAGCCAGCGGAGCAGGCCTGGGCACAGGCGCAGGCTGAGCCCGTGGGGTCTGCGGAATGTCGACACCTACAAGCCCTGGGTTAGCTCGAGATGTCTGACCTCTGAGGCCAGGGCTTTGGGGCTTTTCAGGGAACAGGGAGCACCCCCCACCCCCTGCAACACTGCCCCTCACCTCAGCCTGTGGCGGTCTCCTCGGGGGTCCTGGCAGGCCCTGAGCACCATGGGCATCTGGTTCCAACTCCAAAACAAGAAGGCAGAGCGCCCTCCAGGCTGGCCGGGGGGCTCGGGAGGGAGCGGCTGAGCCGCAGCGGTCCCCGGGTCTCTAGGTGACGCATCTCCACTGACAGCCGGCCGTGAGGAGCCCTCGCTCCGTACCTGCCCCCGAGTCCCGGACCGCAGCCGGGCGACCACGGGGGACAAGGCGCCTGCCCCCTCCCCGGCCCGCAGCGTGGTGACGGGGCCTCCGCAGGGCATGAACAAACCCGGGGGGGGGGGCAGCACGGGGTGGACGCAGGGTCAGGCCTGGGCAGCCGCATGCTGAACACCACCATCTCCGGTGACCCTGTCAGCTGCCTTTACAGTCTGAAGCTCTGGCTCCCCCAACCCAAGCAGTGGCCCTGAGACTCTGCTGCGGAGGGCAGAGGCCAGGGCCTGGCCCCGAGCCCCAGGGCCACCGCTGGACGCCAGGCAGCCCCACAGACGCCCCCCGGGCCCCTGGGCCACGTGGCCGGCCCGGTGATGTGGGGACGCCACCCCGCACGAGCTGACCATGTCTGAACTTGGACACTAAGCAGGGTCAGGCCGCCTGGGAGAAATACCACAGGCTGGCCTAGACGTGAGGTTCTATGAGCCCCATTTCCTAAACCTCAGACACCATCACAAAGTTAAAACACAATTTAATTTACTCATTTATAAATACTGTTGTGTTTACAGGCATCATACAGACGTGAATATTATTATTCCCAAACTTTCAAACACAGAATACTTAATAATACTATATAACAACAACCAGTAAAACAAAACCATTCACCTCAGGGTTGAAAGGCCACTCAAAAGTTGCATAAAAATACATTCAGCTCACGAAGTGCATCCGGGCTCCTCCCTGAACCCGTCCCCCCGGTGTGTGTACACGGAGATGCTGTCTCGGAGGAGAGTTGGGGGGTGAGGTGACGGGCGGGGGCGTGGGGACCCCGGGGAGGTTCTCACACGTGCGCTCCACCCAGTTGGCCAAGGCCGCAGAGGGGACGGTGGGGGGACGGGGACCAGAGCCACAGCCTGAGGCAGAGCCCCTCACGGGGGGTTGTGGGGGACACAGTCTTCCCTCCCGACCAGACAGCCGGCCTTTCGGGGGCTCAGAGGGCCCCGCCTCCAGGGGGCCTGGCTCGGGGCCGGTCCTCCCTCCCAGGACCGCGGGTGGGGTGGAGGGGGTGGAGCCCCGGGGCCCCGCCAGCACCCGAGGCGCCTCCAGCTGGAAGCAGGGCCACCCCCAGGCCCCTGCCAGGCCAGGCCTCCCCGCCTAGGGCACGCACACAGCAGGGAGCTCTGTAACCCAAGTTGGGGCGACTCGAGGAAAACCGCCCCTCCTCTGAGCACCACGGGCTCCGAGAAAAGCAAAGACTGAGCGTGAAGAAGACGAGGGCGGGGGAGGGTGGAAGGCATGTCTGTTCTGGAAGCACACAGGCGCCTCCGAGGCAAAGACCACTCTGGAGTCCCCGTCGGCGAGCAGAGGACCCCGAGCGGCCCGAGAGGGGAGGGCGGCGGGGGGCGAAGACGTGAGTTAACAGGGCCGGAGGAAGACGGGCTGAGGCTGTGCCGTCTCAGGCAGCAAACACGCTACACGCAGGCTGGAAGCAAGAGCGACCCCCGAGCGCAGCACCCCTCAGGGGGACCAGACTCTCAGAGGCTTCTGTCTGCAGTCTTCTCCCCAACCTGCCGTCCAGCCCGGCCTCCCAGGAGGAGGCGCCGCCTCTGTCTGGCCTTTCCTCACTCCGGAGCCCGCTCACTCCCCAGGAGCCGCGGCACTGACAGCTCCCAGGCCCTCAGGAGTCAGCACAGGCGACAGAAGCAGTCCTCGAAGGGGGCTGCACACTCCATCCTGCAGCCCGGCTCCGGGCCGGGATCTCGGCCCGGGGCAGCCTCGGGGCAACCCCGACAGCCCCCAGGACTGAGGCTGGTCCCCACCCAGGAAGGTCCTCCGCTGCCTAAGGCAGAGCTAAGACGGGGCGGCCGCTGGGGAGAAACGCGGCCCAGGGCCACCAGGAGCCACACCCGCTTTGGGAGGGCCGTTCATCCAGAGGCTCGCCCGGCCACCAGCGGGTACAGCCACTGCTCTCCACGCTGAATTCACTCTCCCGCTTAAACACACACTTAAACAGTTCGAATGGAGAAGAAAACAAGAATTTATGACGTTAGAATGAGCAAAATCTGAGTGTGAGAAATTATCTGGTCTCCTTAGGAATCAAAAAAATCACGGAATCTCAGGTCTAGAAGACCCGACCCCAGCCCAGCCCGGCACAGCTGCCCGGGGCAGGCCCAGCCCCAAGGACCCAATGCCCGACCGTGTCCTTCCAGACGCTTCCTTCTGCCGTGTCCCTGCCTTCTCACGGTGCCCGAGGACTCACCTCCCAGGTACTGACACCCACCCTGAAGCTCAGCATGGGGACAGCGCTTGGTACTGCCCACTGGGCCCGGACCGGGAGGACCGCCCACGCCCGCCACCAGAGGCTCCCCCGCCGGGTGGAGCTGGGCCCTCCCTGCTTCCCGTCGGAGGCACGCGGGCCGGGGCCCCGGGAAGCCCCTCCGTGCTGTCCCCACTGCCTCGCACCCGCAGCAGCGCCCACCCCGTCGGGCCCCGTGCCAGCAGCCTGGCTGGGAACCTGAGGCGGAAACGGGCTGCTGGGTCCATCCTGGCGGCTCACGCTCAGGTGGGCGGGGCCACTCTGACTGCCCGCCCGCTCCCTGAGGCAGGGGCGGGGGCCGGGGGGAGCCAATGCCCTGCGAGGGAGGGGGAGCCGGCCCGGTCCTCGCCCCTAGGAGCACCGGCCTCAGGGACGGGGTGGCGAAGTGGCCAGGCTGCAGCCCGAGGCCTGTTCATCTGGCCTGGACAGGCGGCCTCCCTGAAAACCACAAACCAGCGGTGACGAGGACCCTCCCAGCCGCTGACCTCCTGCTCAGGCGCTGTGGAGATGAGCCGGAGCCCCAGGAGCAATGAGGAGGCCCTGGCCACCACCTGAGACCCGCATGGCCTGGAAGGAGACCAGATTCAGGGTCTCCGAGAGTGAGCTGGTGAGGCCTGAGACGGCCACAGGGCCCACCCCCCGAGCTGGGGCCAGTCTGACACACGAGGGCTGCAGGAGGCGCCCGTGGCCCAGAAGGCACAGCCGGAGCCCCTCTGCCCACTCTGCCCAACGCGAGAAGGGCAGGGTGACCCCTCCCACTCAGCCTCCTTCTCCTGAGAGCCAGCCCCGTGGCGGGGGTCAGTGGTCAGAGTCAAGGGCCCCTATGGGTCCCCCAGAACAAAGGGGTGCTGCATTGAACACTGGAGCTTCCTCTGACGCGGCGTCACCCCCGGCCCGCCCATCCCCACTGTCAGATGCCCCATCGTGTGCATGGGGAGGGTCTGCACACCCTGAGAAAGCAGTTTTGCCCCAGAAGACAGATCTGTCTGGAATGGGACTTTGATCAATCATAGCTCTGGGTTAAGGAGTACGGGGCGCTTCTGAGGGCCACGGAGGAGCTGGGGCACTCTGATTTCTGACAGACAGCGTCTGCTGACGACTACACACCGGATGTCAAGAACAGCCCCAAAGCTGACCTGCACGCTCACACCAGCCGAGGGACAAAACTCCGACAGAAAGCACACGCGTTAAGTGTTGACACCAAGGCACCACCAAGGACTCACGCCCGAACTCTGTGCTGGACCAAGGGGGTGGTCCGTCCAGGCTTCTGTCTGGGGGAGGAGGCTACGACGGGACGAGCAGGGAGCAAGGAGAGCAGGCCATGTGGGGACGGAGCTCGGGGTCCCCAACTATGCACGGCAGGGCTGGCATGTCACGGGGGGAAGACCTCCCATGACCTTCCCATGTCAGGAAGGCCTCCACTCCCACCAGGAACCTTTCTGGTTATCAGCGTCTCCCAACTTTCCAGTGATCGAGGCACAACCCCCAAAGCTCCCTGACCCAAGGTGGGGTCCCTGGACATGGCTGTGGAGGGGGGCCTTGCCCCTGCCAGAGCCTGGACTCACTGCTGCTCCTAAGCAAGCGAGTGCCTCTCCCCAGACATACCAACAGTCACCAAGTCAGCCGTCCTGGAGGCTCCTTGTTACGAGGGCGTGGACCCCACTCATGCCCGCCTCCATCAGCCCGCCCCATGCCCCTCAGAAGCCCTCAGGATGGGAAATCAGGTCAACGGAACCGAGGCAGGTTTTCTGGTGAAGAAGCTGCTGTGACGGGGGGACAGGCGGGCTGAGAGCCCGGCCCGGCTTCGTGGGGCCTGGCCAGCATCTGCACCCCGGGCACGCGCAGCGGGGGCACACAGAAATGGGGGACAAATGCGGGTCTAAGAGACGCGGTTACCCGAGCTTGGGGCGGGCGCTGCAACAGTCACGTCACCAGGAGGCTGGTGGAAACACTGCCAGCACCAGCGTCTCCACGTGGACTCAGCAAAGTCAGGTCCTGAGAGGCGGGGCGAGCGGGCCCCTCACGGAGCTGCCGTTACCTCGGACCGGGCGACCCGACGTTGGAGCTCCCGCTGCGGGGGGCTCACTGCCCGGGCCAGGCGCCACGCGGGCGAGTGGGCGGGCGGCGGGAGGCCGGGTCTGAGGGGCCTGGCAACCCCGAGCCGCCTCCGGATGCCCAGCTGGCCGAGGGTCGCCGTGGTGCCTTGGTGGGAACTGTCTGAGCCGGCGGGGGCGCTGGGGGGCCGATGAGGGTGCGGCGGCGGCTGACAGCAGAGGCAGGTCCCGGCTTGGCCGGCGAGTGCAGACGGGCACGGACGCGAGCCCCCCGTCAGCCCCGGCCGGGCCTACTTGGATAGTTTGCTGATGACCCTGATGAGGGCTCCGTTTTCATCTTTCAGCCTCTGGTTGTCGGACTTCAGCTCCGTCAGGACCTGCGGGGCAGAGGAAGAGGCACGAGGCTGGCGTGACCCCCGCAGACCCGTCGCTCTGTGAGGGTGACCAGGGTCGGCTCAGGCCCTGCGGCAGGGACACCCTCTCCCCTTCCTGGGCGAGTGACTGTTCCCTGTGTCGGAGAATCTGGAGCAGGCACACGCTGGGGACACAGACGTCCGGAGGGTGGTGGGGGAGGCAGGAGGCACAGCTCGGGCCTCCGCTCACACACAGGACGACGTGCGGGTCCCACTGCTGCAGCCGGGGACGGGACCACTGTGGCCCCCGGGCTGTGGCGCTCGGGGCCGGGGCTGCCATGGGAGGCGGGCGCACTGTTCCGTCAGCCCTGGACCCTCACACCCGGCTGCTTGACCTGTGGGACGAAGGGAGCAGCAGCCCCCAGCCCAGGCCGGGCGCTCCCATGGGAGGCGTGGGGTCTGAGCGCCCTGGTGGCCCCGCAGGGATGCGGCTGGTACGGGAGGCGGGGTGCAGGTGCTGGGTGCGATAGAGAACCTGTTTGCCACGAGGGCAACCGAAGTCTCTACTCCCATCCGCTCAGGGCAAATGCCCTCTGCTCAGTCACTCAGGTCTACAGCCCCTGCTGGGCCGTGCTCCTGGGGCTGACTCCAGGTCTGGCTCGGCTGCTGACACTCAGGGACCAGCGTGACCCCGCAAAGGATGGGACTGCCCCCTCAGCCCCTCACAGATGGAGCAGGCTAAGTCGCAGACAGACGTGTGTGGACCGCAGACAGAAGTGCTGATAGAGAACAGAGGGTGTCTGGAGCGTCAGGACGGCCTCTGGGGCTGGAATACAGCCAACCTCACAGCCACAGACATGGACAGGAGCCCAGCGTCACCATCATGCACAGCCCCTCACGGGAAGGCCGACACTGACGCTGCAGACGCGGGGCCACATCAGGCACCTGGTTCTCTTCTCTGGGTTTACCACTTTGTATCTAGAAAGGCCTGCCCCTGCCCTGGTCCCCCACAAAGCAGGGACTCCGAGGGGCCCGCAGCTGTGGCGTGGTGTGTAGGAGGGCGCTGATCCAGATGCACCAGAGCAGGGCGATCCTCTGCGCCCCTGTGACGCCCACCCCGGCCCCATCAGAGCCCAGACGGCCTCCCTGCCCACCCTCAGACTCAAGTGCTCAGAGGCCCGGGCCGAGAGGCTGTAAGAGGCCCCCTGACGTGCCCCCCCCGGCTGCCGGCAGACGCCCGGCCATGTTCCCACAGCAGGCTTTGGGCAGGAAGAAGCTCCATGTGAGGATGGCCGTGTCACCGCCAGGAGCTCTCAGGTCGGATCTGAACTGCCCCTTTTGAAAACACGTACAAACACGGCCTCGACTCTCGGGAGATTCACTTCCAGGTTAAGACTTGATTCTCTGGGAAAACTAGGCCGAGGCGCTTTCTCAGCCGCCCGAGCTTCTGCTGACAGTCTGGGAACCCTCGGAAAGGACGGAAGGGGCACAAACCGGCCAGAGAGGCTGGCGCTCAGGCGGCGGAGCTCGGCCTGCTCCACACTCTCCCCGTGACCCGGGGCGAGTCACTTCTGACTCAGGAGACTCGGTTCTTCCCACAAGAACATTGACTGGTCTCTCACTGAATGGGAACGTGTGGGCACAGAGCTTGGCACGGGCCCGCACAGATGACCACTGGCCCCGGGGTCCCCAGCCCTGCCAGTGTGGGGTCCAGCCCCAGCCAGGCCCGGGATCTTCCGCACGAGAGGGGGACTGAGAAAACTGGGCCAAGCCCCCAATTCACCCCGAGTCAAGTGCTGATCTCCCTGAGTGGAGCGTGGCCTCAGACGCCTTCCCAGGAGGCCGGGGGCTGCTCGCCCGGTGGGGGGACCCACAGCATGCTTGACAGGAATGGGGGAGGGGGTTCAGACCCGGCGGGTGCGAGCTGCCAGCTACTGACCCAGAGGCACAGCAGACAGACAGAAAGAAGAGCAGGCCTCAGGCGGGACTGATGAGAGTGTTGCTGGAAATTAAAACCTCGTCTCAGAGAGTGAGACCGCACAGCACTGAGGACCCCTCAGGCCAGCTCGGCGGGAAGCACGCCGACCACGAGCTGGTCTTCAGACCACGTGAGGGAGCGCCTCTGATCCAGTGGACGCAGTCCCTGGTCCTCCGGTGACATTCGCAACCACCTGTCTGTGGCCCCATCAGGGGGCCCTGCCCCCAACCCAGACCTGTGATGCGCAGGAGGACACGGCCCCCACGATGGGAGGAGGAGGCAAGACCCAGCGCGGGAGGTGGGTGGAGAGGAGCAGGCTCAGAGCCCCTGCCCAGAGCTCGCTCTGGGCACACAGAACAGACAAGGAGCTCTAGACACCCCGGACCTCAGCTCGGAGGCTGACCAGCGTGTGGGACCCAGCCCTGGGCGTCTGAGCCCACAGCCCCTGCCCTTGGTCACAGTCACCCTAGGCCCGACCTGATCGCTCCAGGGAACAGACTGCACTGGGGTCACAGCTGACTGAGAGCCCGATCTCCCCCAGGTGTTCACACACAGGCCAGGACCCACGGACCCGCGTGGCCACCTTGAGGGAAGAGTCTCAACAGGGCCCAGGCCAGGCCCCTGCCCCGCGCCTGCAGACCAACCTTCACAGACCCCACACGCGTAGGCTCTGGGGGCAAATGCAGAGCCCGAGGCTGACACCAGACAACAGAGGGAACGTGCCTGGAGTGGAGGGGGGGGAGGCGGGACTAGAGCCCCTGGGGGTCCGAGCCCTCGACGGCCTCCGAGAGTCTGGCCACAACGCGGGTCAGAGCCCGGTTCTCGGCCTGCAGCTGCTCATTCATGTGCTTCAAGGTCTGAATCTGTTTTAGCTGGTGGAGGTTCTGCAGAGAGTGAGACACGGACGGACAGACAGACAGGACAGGCCAGAGAAGAGAAGAGTGGGACAAAGAAGTCACATGACTTTGTTTCTGCTTTTAGTCTGCATGCAAGGAAGGAAAGGCGAGTTGGAAGGTGGTGGGTTCTGGCCCCAGCAAGGCCTGCTCTGCTGCCCGGAAGCCAGGGTGGAGACCTGCCCCCTGCCCTGGCTCAGGGCTGGGACCTCGTCTCAGAAAGCAGACGCGTGACCGGCGCCAGGCCCGTCCAGCAGTCACCCGGGACAGTGGGGTGGATGGAGCAGGGTAGCGCGCCCATGGCTGTCCCGTAAAGGACTACGGCCAGCGATAAACAGGATCCTGCCTGGACCAGCCCTGGTGGGAACCAGGCCTCTGAGCCTGAAGCTGAGACCATCAGCTCTGAGGGGGAGAAAACGGTCTCGCTGCGAGAACGGACCTCACAGATGGAGATGATGACCTGTGGGTTACGTGACTACAGACAGGTCGCCAGGCACCAGAGAAGGGTCTCTTCTGCCTGCGCAGAGGGGAGGGACAGAACTGGAAGGTCAGAGAGGCCACAGTGTTTCAGGAGTGAGAGAAGAAAGCGAGAGGCAGCACGACGGGGACTGGTGAAAAGGAAACACACGCGGACAGACGCTGACTCTCGGCCCACAGATGGAGACGCGCCACCCCCGTGGGAGGGCGGCCCACGGCTCCCAGGAGCCCAGAAGGGCCGGGTCAGGGGCTCCTCTCAGCGGGAGGGTGAGTGGGTCACGGCGCAGCGCAAGGACCCGTGGACAGTCCACAGTGCCGCCCCTTCCCTGGGGCTGCGGGACCAGGGCTTTCGGCAGTCACGGTCCCTCCCTGAAGTGGTCCTTGCCTCCGAGAGTGGCGTTCAACTAGGAGAAGGACTCTCAGAACCCACGAGCACAGGCGGGTCGAGGGGAAGAATGTGGCTGAGGGAGCAGGGCTGAGAACAGGCGTGGCAGGGAGCAGCCGAGCAGGGGGCCAGAGTCAGCCAGGGATGCTTCCAGAGCAGGAAAACAAAACTCCAAGAAAAGTGTCCACAGGGACTGGCTGCAGGCCTCCCATGCCAGCACCCGGGGGAGGGGAGGGGAGGGGAGAGGAGGGAAGGAGGGTGAGGAGATGGGGGGGGGAGGTGAGGAGATGGGGGAGGGGAGGAGGTGTAGGGAGGGGTAGGAGGGTGCGGGGATGGAGGGTAGGAGGGGAAGAGGCTGAGGCAGGGTGGCAGCTGCCCTGGCCAAGCTCTCAGGCCCATCGGCGCGCTGACCGGCATGCCCGCAGAGGCATACACACAGCCGCCTCCTGCCCAGCCGCGTGTGGTTTCTCTGGGGGAGCCAGAGACACCTACCTTTCCAAGAGAAGGCCAGCAAGGCTCAGGTACTCACAGCCGCACAGCCCACACCTGCGGGCCAGCCCCCCTTGGGGGCTGGAGTCAGGAAACGGGCCCCAGCCCCACCTGTCCTTAAACCCCTCCCGCTTCCTGGGGCTCCCTGGAGGTCACCCCGCTCCCCGTGACCACGCCTGCAGGGCCTGAGCTTATGTATGAACGGAACAGGGTGCAGGTGTGACCAGGGTCCGTGGCTGGCCGTGAGAACAGGGTGGCCACATGAGAAACCAGGTTCCGGTCAGCATGCCTACTGCCCAGGGCGCAGACAGTCACGCACAGGCCCCACCCGGTTCCAGCCGGCCGGCACAGAAGCCAGGCCTCGTGGGGCACCGCCCATATGCCCACCTCGATCCAGAGAAGAGAAGGCCTCGTGACCCCGCTGAGGGAACCGCAGGCTGAGGGGAGGAGACAGAGCCAGCTGCCTCAGCTGCAGCCTGAGGGCTCCCACACGGGCGGGAGCAGGCCCAGCGGCTCCCCTCCGGACTAGACGGCAGCCTGGCCTGGAGCAGGTGGGCCGGCCCCCGAGGGCCCTGCTGACAGGGTCCCAGCTCGGGCCGTGCCCATGCGCCTCCCCAGCGCCGGCCTGCTCCCTGACGAGCGCCCTTGGCCCCAGCCCCACCTGTCCTTAAACCCCTCCCGCTTCCTGGGGCTCCCTGGAGGTCACCCCGCTCCCCGTGACCACGCCTGCAGGGCCTGAGCTTATGTATGAACGGAACAGGGTGCAGGTGTGACCAGGGTCCGTGGCTGGCCGTGAGAACAGGGTGGCCACATGAGAAACCAGGTTCCGGTCAGCATGCCTACTGCCCAGGGCGCAGACAGTCACGCACAGGCCCCACCCGGTTCCAGCCGGCCGGCACAGAAGCCAGGCCTCGTGGGGCACCGCCCATATGCCCACCTCGATCCAGAGAAGAGAAGGCCTCGTGACCCCGCTGAGGGAACCGCAGGCTGAGGGGAGGAGACAGAGCCAGCTGCCTCAGCTGCAGCCTGAGGGCTCCCACACGGGCGGGAGCAGGCCCAGCGGCTCCCCTCCGGACTAGACGGCAGCCTGGCCTGGAGCAGGTGGGCCGGCCCCCGAGGGCCCTGCTGACAGGGTCCCAGCTCGGGCCGTGCCCATGCGCCTCCCCAGCGCCGGCCTGCTCCCTGGCGAGCGCCCTGACAGCAGCCCCAGACAGTGCGAGGAACCAAGGCCCACCCTGCGGACTGGCGCGTGGACGTGCTGCCCACGGGGGGGCACGCTCTGAGCGGCAGGCGGTGTGTCTGGAGAAGCCAGCAGCTGGGGAGCGCGGGCCCCACGCCCTCAGGAGAGGCTGCCCTGCTGCAGATGCAGGTGGGCCCTGCCCGAAACCGCCCGGCAGCATGGCCCGTCCTCCCTGGGACGCCGAGCCTCCCGTGTGCTGGAGCCGCTCAGACCGATGGGACTCCCGGCACCGGACATCACGTCAGTTTTGACCTCATCAGGCCCTGGACAACTTTTTTTGTAAATAACCAACCGTTTTAGGCCATGGGAACAATGAAGGTCTCCTGCAAAGGGCTCAGCTCACAGCCTGATGCCTCTGGCTCCCAGGGAGGAAGCCCGAGTGTGTTTCACACGAGTGTGCAGCCCCCTCACTGTTGCCTGACGCCCAGGTCTGACACAGTCCTGCCTCCCCCACCATCCTGTGCCCGTGTGTACAACTCCCAGGACCTGAGGAATGATGGCGGGATGGTCGCTGCAGCTCCCCAGACCCCCAAACGGTCCAGGCGGAGGACCCCAGAGCGGCCCCACCTGCGGCCTGTCCTCAGGGCCGGAGCTGGAAGTCCAGCTCTGTCCTCTCATCCAGCCCCTTGGGGGAAGCCCTCAGAGGAAACCCTCTGGGTTCAGTTCAGGTTTGCCCCAGCCAGTGAGATGCCCCCTTGGGTTCCGAGGGGCGAGGCCCAGGCTCCCCTCACCCACACCGCGTGCCCCTCATGGGCCCTGTGGCTGCCCGCAGGCACATCTGTCCGTACCTTCATCTCCTCTTCCATCTCTGACATCTTCCGCTCCAGGGCCCGCCTCTCCTGTTCAACAGAGCAAGACGCTGAGCACCCCATGGGACTCAGAAGGCAGTCAAAAGGCTGTCCCTCTGGCCCTGTGTAGCCAGAACCCCATGCTGTGGGAATCGAACGTAAAACTGAGCTGCTTTCCAAATTAAACACGGTAACAGGAGAAATGAGAACGTATTTTATACCCCAGGTCAAGGCGATGCTGGGGTTCATCAGTACATCTGACTTCTCCCAACCCGACAATGTTGACCCCCAGAAAGATCCTAAGTGTGCTTGGGAGGGGTCAGCAGCTGACTGAGAAGCCCCCTCCCCTCGGTCAGAGTGAGCAGGCTGTCTGCTCGTGTTCCAAGTCGTCAGACCTCCACCCACGGCGGAGGCGCTGCTGAAAGCTCCGCTTCTGTTCAGTGGGGCGGGAGCGCCTGGGCACTGCGGCAAGCACTCTGTGGGCAGGTGAGTCTGCACAGCTCCACCTGCCCCAGTGATGCCAACAGCCCCCCAGACCCCTGCCCTGAGCTCAAAGGCCGCCTCGGGACCAGCAACCAAACTGCCGCCCAGAGGCAGAGAGACCAGTACCCACTGGGACAGCCACGCAGAAGCCCCGCCTCCCTGATGCACACGCACCCGCTTTTCCGTCTCCAGTGCCGACGACCGGTCAGGGATCTTGTCTTGCTTCTGTTGGTGCAAGCGGAAGGAACACAGTTGTTACTGGAGGTCTCAGGGCCAGAGGGCTCGTCTCATCCAGCCCCCACCGGTCGCCAAGGTGGCGGGGCTCCACGCAGTCACACAGCAGGCCAGGCACACAGGTCCTGACACCACTGAGACACACATCACCGCCCCTCCCAGTTCACAGAATCCCCACGGTGGGGGGGTGCAGGGCCCCTAAAATGTGACATGGCCAGGGGGGCAGGGGCACGACTGCATAATCACCACACACACACAACACACCAAACACAACACCCCCACACAACACACACACTGCATACATACACAACACACACCCACACCACATGCACACATGTACACACACAGAATACAGACCCACACAGCATACATGTGCACACATGCCACACCCCCAACATGCACACTACATGTACACACACTGCATGCATACACAACACACACCCACACATAACACACCTACATCACATACACAACACTCCCCACCACACACACATGTACACACATATACCCACCACACACTATACACCTACATGTATGTACACATACCACACTCAGAGACTACATGTACACAGACCCACCCACCACACACACTACATGTACACACACACTGCATGCATACACAACACACACTCACGCCACATACACGGGTACACACACACTACACGCACACACACAGAACACACATACTACACAGTACATGTGCACACAACACACACCACACTACATGTACACGCATGTACACACAGAGACACCACCACACACAACACACATCCAACACACACTCATACACTCATCCACTACATTCCCACAAAACACACACTACATACACACACATTCACCACAGACACACACATCTGACACACACGACAGGTATACACAAAACAACAGAGAAACACACACATTCATTCACCACACACAGCACACTCCCCCGCACCCCCACACACCACACACCACACAGATCCACACACATTCACCACATACACAACACACACTAAATGTAAACACATTCACCACACAGACATCCACAACACACACGGTACATATGCACAACACTCCCACGCACTCCCACACACTCCACACCCGTCACACACACACCCACACAGACACACACGCTTCAAGGCTGCCCGGCTCGCCCCACAGTGCTCCTCCCTTCTCTCTCTGCGATCTCAGGCCAGAGGAGATGGAAGCGCCTTTCTCCCGTAAAAGCCGGAGCGCCAGGCGCTTGCTCCTGCTCTGCTCATCTGTTCCGGGACAAAGGCGGTGGTTCTCACGGTGGGCGGGCCGGAGTCTCTCAGGCCTCAGTCCGTCCGCAGACCTGCCTCCTGTGAACAGGACCTTCCCGTTTTATACACTGGGCTCGACGTTGGGTGAGATTCTATCTGAATAAGAGATCCAAACTTGACTGTGTGGACCACCCTCTACCTTCTTTCTCTATTTTGGCCGTGCTGGGTCTCCACTGCTTGGCGGGCTTCTCTCCAGCTGCGGCGGGGGGCTGCTCCCCAGCTGTGGGGCACGGGCGCCCCGGCGCGGTGGCGTCTCTCGCAGGGGAGCGCAGGCTCTGGGCACGTGGCTTGGGTTCCAGGTTGTGCAGTGCGGGCTTAGCTGCTCCTCAGCATGTGGGATCTTTGAGGACCATGGATCGAACCCATGTCTCCTGCACTGGTAGGCAGATTCTTTACCTCTGAGCCACCAGGGAAGCCTCTACTTTTATACACCTTATTTGGAGAGGGGCTAAAAAGATTCAGCCACCACAGCTAAAAAGCAGAGCAGCTTCAAGGCTGGACACAATGGGGCATGGCGATGCTCCCAGGCCCCTTCTGCTCTCAGCATTTCAGAACCAGGCAGCATTTCTTACAACCAACAGACTGTTGATGATGACAAAGTGACTGTTTATGCTGAGCAACCAGCACAGAAACACTGAATAAATACAGAAACCGCGCTGGCGTTCCTGAGGAGGCTTCTTTTCTCAAACAGGGAAGGGCCGGTCAGAACTGGCAGAGACCTGGGATTTCAGGCTCTCGTCTGAGACTCTTGCCAGCGTCTCTGAAGCGCACGGCCGTCAGCCTCTCCCTCCGCGGAGAAGTAGGAGGAAAGAAGGGGCAGGGCAGCTGCACCCAGGTCCTCCTGCCCAAGCCGGGGCCGTGGGAGCCATTTCACGGCTACTTCACCTGTACTGGGAGAGCTTAACTGGCTCACTCGGGCAAAGAACCCGTTTTGTTTTGCTCTGGTTTAACTCTAAGCCATCCAAGTTCGCGTGGGCCTTGCGAACACGCCGTGTGTCCATGTGGTAACCGTCTGCACACAGATGCGTGCGGCCGACGGGCCTCCCCCTCACTGTCCATCGAACAGTCCATTTTTGGTAAAGAGCAGAGGCTTGGCTTGCAGCACCAGCATTTCTTCTGAATTTCAGTAACTCGTATTTGGCAAAACAAAGCATATTCCGACACACCCAGCAAAGCAGTTGGCTAGGAAGTCCACACAGTTCCCCAGGGACACAGAGGCTGAGTTTATCTTTAACAGCCTCCACGCAATCAGCGTCCCAGCTCGTGGGAGCGCTGCACCATGAAGCCAAGACCCGGAGGTCAAAGGAGGTGCTGTCGGAGCTTCTGAGGAGGAGTGAGTTGGGGGCAGGGCTCCTCACAGAACGCCCCCAGCCTCTGAAACGTGCAGCCCAGGCCTGCGTGGCCAGCCCAGCAGACTCTTCAGGACAAAGTTGGCTTCGGCCGCCACGAGCAGGCGGGGCCCTTCCAAGGTGAGGATGAAGGGCAGCCCCCAGGATGGGCGGCTCTGTGCTGCTGAGCCCCCAGAAACCCCTCGGGGCATGCCCCCCCAGCCCTCCTCGAGGCATGCCCCCACCCCGGCCCCCTGGACACTGGAGCCGCTGCTTGCCCAGGGGTTGGGAGGGCACTGTCCCCCCCCGCCACATGCCACTACTCAGGCCCAGCATTTCTATCTCTGCTTTTGGACCCCATTCTGGGGCAGAACCGACAGCCAGCTCTGGTCTCCACCTGGCCTCCCTGGCAGACTCAAAACTCTGACCCTCAGGGCTCCCGGCAGCTTCCTGCCAACCCAGCAGTGGCCCGTGGCAGGGGAAGCCCACCTCGCGGCTGCACCCAAGTCTGGTTCTCCCTCCCCACCTCACCTGCGCCATCTTCTCAAGCTTGGACTTCACGTCTGCCAGCTCGAGCTGGGCCTCCTGAAGTTTTGTCTTCAGCTTCTGGTTTTCGGTCAGGGCGCTCTCGTAGAGCTGGGGAGGGAGAGAGGAGTCAGCTCCCGGAGTGAGCGGCTGGGGACAGGGCGCCTCCAGCCAGCAGGTCTCCCGCTGCTGGAACCGTGAGGTCCAAGGGACTCAACTCAAAGATGATGCTTCCCTGTTGTAAGGTTAATCCCTGGGGTGGGGCACAGAGTGAACACGCCACTGTGTGTGTCTGTGGTTTAAAAATCTGGTTCCCACACAGAAGAGATCTGACATTGGAGCCTCCCTCATGTGCATACCCATTTTAGCCAAGTTTGGCCTAACAAGACAAACGTTTCGGTAACAAAAAAGTTTTTCCTGGCATCTTGTGCACAGGAAGGGTTGTGAGCCAGCCCTTTGAGCTGGGTTCTCTTCTGCAAGAAGTGAAGGAAACGAGCCATAAAATGGCATAAACCCTCAAACCAGAGCACGGTTGCTGACGATGACCGAGCAGCGTGTGGCTGGCGTCCACAGGGCTCACGGAAAGCAAACGGCTTTGCTCTCCCATCAACAACCCTCAGTCCTTGCTTCTTCCCACTCCTCTCAACACCCGACTCGGGGACATTTTTACTGTCCTAGAAGCAGCAGCCGGCAGAGAGAGGTGACCACGGCACTCTGCGGGGCTGCCCCGAGCAGGGCGGACCAGGCTAGGGGCCCACCTTCCTGTAGTCCCTGCCGCTGCCGTCCTCCGCACGGCTGCTCAGGGTGGCCAGGCGGGCCTCGCGGGCCTCGCGGCGGGCTCTGGCTGAGGCCCGCTCGGTAGACGTGTCGCTGCCTCCAGATTCCAGCCTGCAGGAGACACAGGGAAGGGGAAGCCGGTTCCAAGAACAGCAAGGTGCAGGGGGAGACGCCAAAGGGTGGTGGACGCTTTCCCAAGAGGCGCTGAGCGCCGCGGGGCATGCCTGCCCGGTGGGCACACAGTGGGCTGGGAGCTGGCAGTTTGGACGCTTGTGCGGGCTGAAATCTCAGAGCTTTTCACACTAGCTTTGGGGTAAATACCTTCACTCAAGAGAGTGCTTTTAAAAGCAATTTTCTTGGATCTCAGAGGCTCTTACAAAATGATTCCAATGAAGTCAGAAACACGTGGGCCTGGCGCTAAAAGCTGGGGTGGGCGAGGAGGGCACGGGGCAGGAGAGCTCACCGTCCACCCCCTCCTCTGGACGCCACACGGGGGCGGCCGTGCCCGGGACGGGATGTCACAGCATGTAGGGGCTGCATGCTCGGGGCGGACGGCGGCTTCATTCCAGAACTGGCTGGTCCGAGAGTGGATCACAGACTGAGTGGATCCCTAACAGTGTCCCTGTCTTTCTGGGGCTTTGCTGTCTCCAAGCTAAAATGTGGCCCATGGAAGGCCACACACAGCCTGGCTCTGCAGGGCTCCACCCTGAACCAGGACGCGTGAGGGCCCGGCTCCGGAGCGTCTGCCAGTGGCCCTGTCCGCGGGCACCGCTTGGGGCTGGGTGGGATCCAGGCGCCAGAAGCGGCAGAGCTGGGTGGGGCACGGCACCCAGCGAGTCCAAGAGCCACCCTGTCCTCACGGGGATGCCACGTCCTTCCGCAACATTCTTTTTCTTCTTACATTAAAAAAAACACCTTTTGTAAACAGAAATCCCTTCACTGACTTTCCTGATTACAAAAACAGGACATGCTTACTGAACAGCTTAGGCATGGGTATCAAAGTGTCTAAACAGAAAGTGAAAGTCACCCCAAGCCCTGCCCCAGCACAGTCTCTGTTAACAGTTGAGTCTGTGTTCCTGCAGGATGCTAGACACAGAGGTCGAAACAGACACTTCTGTGAACAAACTCAGAGAATACTTTCTGTGCCTGCCTCCTCTCCCTACACCTGCTCGTGATGACCGCGGGCACCCCACACATACGTAAAGACAAGTTTGCCTCATTAAAGAAAAGATGACCATGGAGACTTCCCCTGTATGGCTGCGAGAGTGCCGAATCCTCTGTTGAAAGGCCCACACCGTCCGTGCCGAGGCACTTAGGTGGGGCCTCACTTGGCGACCCCAGCGACTGTAGCCCGCCAGGCTGCTCTATCCACGAGAGGAGCCAGCAAGAATACTGGAGTGGGGTGCCATTTCCTTCTCCAAGGCACACACTGATTTGTCTGTAAGTCTTAGTTACTTTCTTAGCATAAAATTTTAGCAGTGGAACTGTTTGGTGAAGAAGTAAATATCCTGAGCATCCTACATACAGTAGGGCTTTTAAAGCTGACGTGAAAGTCGCTCAGTCGTGTCTGACTCTTTGCGACCCCATGGACCATACAGTCTGTGGAATTCTCCAGACCAGAATACTATCGTGGGCAGCCAGCAGATCTTCCCAGCCCAGGAATCAAACCAAGGTCTCCTGCATTGCAGGTGGATTCTTTACAAGCTGAGTTACCAGGGAAGCCTTAGAACTAATGTAAGCTGCAATTTTCCCCACTTTACTTTTGTCTCTTTACTAGCAGAGATTTGAATCTTATGTAATGAGATGGATTCTTCCCCCATGAAGCTAGAAAGTCACCTGTGGCTTCTGGGGCTGTCAGCTGGTTCCACCAATTTTGAGTACCTCACTGTTCTAATTGCATATTCTGAAGTTGGCAGTGAAATTTATTTTCATAAATGGCATTATAATGTAACAGAGTTCACAAGAAATTAAGTGGAGTAAAGCGCTTCTCTCCACCAATCTGCAAAATTAATTTTCTGCTGGGTTAGATGGGAATTGGATTTACCCTCTGCTGGTGCTGGCGACATGCGAGGGGAGAACATGCGCCAGTGTGTGAACTTCAGGGTCTAACAACAGGAAGCAGCGGCTCTGTCACGAGACGGATCCACCCCACGCCCGTCAGAACCGCGCACCCCTGTCCCTCTCGGATTCTTCATCAGAGGGATTACAAACCTGGGGACCGACGGTCTCTACTCTTTACTTGGTTCTTCAGGAAGACCAAGTCTGTGCCCTTAGGTACTAGGTAAACGTTACAGAGGACCCCTGCCCACACTCTGACCTGCTTCTTCAAGCTTTCAGGGCTGGCGCTCACTGGACAGACTCCCCGGGGCCCATCTGGGTACAAGGAGCGGGCTGGGGCCCCCGACCCAGGACCACGGGTCCGGCTGGTCACGCCTCTGCCCCGCGCGCCCATCAGCACCTCTCTCGTGGCCTGGCTGCTTCCTGCTGAGACTGTCTGTCCAGCCGTCTGTCTGTCGGGACACTCACGCCCCCCAAGCCTGGGGAACCGAGGTGCAGGCAGAACGCAGCGTGATGGGGATGGAGGGGTTGTGCGGGGGCCGAGGAAAGAAGGGAGGACAGAGACACGCTGAAGCAGGCGCCGGTGCGTGTAGGCACAGAAGCGTTTACTCACGAGTGTGACTCGGGGAAGGCCTTACCTAGAGAGTCGTTCGTGCTGCAGAAAGGAGACAAACGAGAAATCAGTGTTAGCCGCGGGCTGAGGGTTATCATCTCCACTTACAAGTGTACTTTCCAAACCAGACACCTCAGCTTCACAGCTGCAGACGGTGCAGCTTCGCAGGTTAAAGAAAGGCTGCTCAGCAAAGCACCCCCCCACGTGCCCAGGACTCTCAAGACTTGCGGCCGGGGAAGGGGGGGGGTGCATCTCATTAAGCTGGGGTTCAGCAACCTGTGACAGGACCACCAGCCCCTGTGACAGAACCACCAGCCCCCAACAAATGGCTCTGCGTCCCAGGACCACGTGGGCCTGCAACGGCCGCCTCTCTGCATCTCAGCATCCCGTCTACCCATCTCCTACCATTCACACTCAGCCCTGCTCTCGGGGACGCCCTCATCTATTCCGTGAAGGTCCAGGACCGTCCCCACTCCCCCCATGCCCCTCGTGAAGGGAGAAGAGGGCAGGCAGAGGCCCCCTTGTAACCAGGACAGTGGGAGAGCCTGAGAAAGCACCAAGACCTCAGAAGGAAGGGGCTTACAGGTTTCAGCTGGGAGCTCAGCTGCTTATAGTCACGGCAGACACCAGTGTAACAGTATGCCTGTTTCACACTTATTTTTGATCACAGATGACCTTTACCTTATCTCCACTTTTCTAATAAAAGAACTCAAGCAAAAAACCAAAAGTCCTCCATTGACGTATATGTATTTATTTGTTTTCTAAGCAGTTAATAACAAGGTCCTCGAGGGGAGACAGAAGCAGGAGGAGGATGAACAGGACGCGCAGGTTCCCGCCCGGCTCGGCCTTCCCGGGGTGTGGTAGCCCCACACTGCCCCAAAGCCGTCCGGGGATGGAGCCCCAGCACCACGGGCCGCAGGCCCCGACCCGCTGACCCAGGTGCAAGGTGTTTGTCCCGAAGGCCTCGCCTGACCTGGGCTCACGCCCACCAGCTGTTTTCCACAGCGTCCCACCGGACCTCCACCCAGACCTCCACCCAGACCTCCAGCTGGGAAGTGCTCCCTTGACAGGCCGAGAGGCGGCCTTCCTCCACAAATGGCACCGCGTCCCCTGGGTGACCTGCCGTGCAGCTGGGCTGAGCACCAGCGGCCTAGAAGTGAGCGTGTCTGGGTGAAGACCCGCTCCACCGCCCATGGAGGAGGCGCTGCGAGGCGTGTGCGCCGTCTCCTGACCTGGGGCCAGACGTCCCGAACACGTGGGCCGGCTCGGGAGTCCTCCTGACTCGGCCCTGGAACGGACCGGCCCCACCCCGCCTCACCAGCCCAGCTGTGTGGCCAGGGGCCTGCCCATCAGGATGCGCCCTGAGCCCCAGAGAAGCGAGGCCAAACCCTGGGCCGGGCAGCACCAAGGGCTCCACCAAATGGAAGGACAGCGGTGCAGGGCCTGCAGGGAAGCCTGGGTGGCAGAGAAGCTGCGGGACGGAGCGGGGGCACCGAGAGCAGGCCTGTCTGAGCGGCGCGGGCAGACTGGAGTGGGGCGAGGAGACAGAGACAGGGCGCCCCCGCCGCTTCCCAACAGGCACGCACGAGAGATGGGCACACGCGCCCCAGGTCCCACCCCCCGCCACCGCCAGTGACGCCCTGGGGACCGCGCCGCTCAGCACACGCCCGCCCAGCGCACAGGCAGGCTTCCAGGTGGGGCTGTCGGCTCGGGGGGCTCCCCACCCCGCACACAGGTCCTTCAGAGCCTCTGAGCACTTCCGCACCCGACCACCTGCTCCCTCCCGGCTTCTTCAAGCTCCACCCCCACAGGGGAGAGCCCTCGGAGGAAACCACCCCTTCCTTCCGGGTTTCTCTCCTAAAGAAACCTGGGCAGGGGGTCCTCAGATGGCCTGGTAAGACGACCAGCCAGCACGTGGGCCGCATCTGTTTACTGCCTCGGGGCTTCCTGACGTCCTCTCTGTAAGCGTGACCTGTCGGGTGAGACTTTAGCTGCGTCTTCAACTTTAAATTCTGCAGTGCGGACTGTCTCTGGTGAAGACAGGAAATTCAGCGTTCACCAGGTCTGTCTCAGCCAGTTCACCTCCATCAGAGCACACGAGTCACGCCCAGGACTCACTCCTCGCAGGGCAGGGGCCGTGACCTCCCCCCTCAGGTGGGTTCCTGCTGTCACGCCCCTGTGGTCCTCAGGTGGGGCAGATGGCACATGGGGACACGGACGCCCACGCGAGACACAGACGGTGGGCCAGCCCTGCCAAGAACAGGACGCGCAGGTTCCCGCCCGGCTCGGCCTTCCCGGGGTGTGGTAGCCCCACACTGCCCCAAAGCCGTCCGGGGATGGAGCCCCAGCACCACGGGCCGCAGGCCCCGACCCGCTGACCCAGGTGCAAGGTGTTTGTCCCGAAGGCCTCGCCTGACCTGGGCTCACGCCCACCAGCTGTTTTCCACAGCGTCCCACCGGACCTCCACCCAGACCTCCACCCAGACCTCCAGCTGGGAAGTGCTCCCTTGACAGGCCGAGAGGCGGCCTTCCTCCACAAATGGCACCGCGTCCCCTGGGTGACCTGCCGTGCAGCTGGGCTGAGCACCAGCGGCCTAGAAGTGAGCGTGTCTGGGTGAAGACCCGCTCCACCGCCCATGGAGGAGGCGCTGCGAGGCGTGTGCGCCGTCTCCTGACCTGGGGCCAGACGTCCCGAACACGTGGGCCGGCTCGGGAGTCCTCCTGACTCGGCCCTGGAACGGACCGGCCCCACCCCGCCTCACCAGCCCAGCTGTGTGGCCAGGGGCCTGCCCATCAGGATGCGCCCTGAGCCCCAGAGAAGCGAGGCCAAACCCTGGGCCGGGCAGCACCAAGGGCTCCACCAAATGGAAGGACAGCGGTGCAGGGCCTGCAGGGAAGCCTGGGTGGCAGAGAAGCTGCGGGACGGAGCGGGGGCACCGAGAGCAGGCCTGTCTGAGCGGCGCGGGCAGACTGGAGTGGGGCGAGGAGACAGAGACAGGGCGCCCCCGCCGCTTCCCAACAGGCACGCACGAGAGATGGGCACACGCGTCCCAGGTCCCACCCCCCGCCACCGCCAGTGACGCCCTGGGGACCGCGCCGCTCAGCACACGCCCGCCCAGCGCACAGGCAGGCTTCCAGGTGGGGCTGTCGGCTCGGGGGGCTCCCCACCCCGCACACAGGTCCTTCAGAGCCTCTGAGCACTTCCGCACCCGACCACCTGCTCCCTCCCGGCTTCTTCAAGCTCCACCCCCACAGGGGAGAGCCCTCGGAGGAAACCACCCCTTCCTTCCGGGTTTCTCTCCTAAAGAAACCTGGGCAGGGGGTCCTCAGATGGCCTGGTAAGACGACCAGCCAGCACGTGGGCCGCATCTGTTTACTGCCTCGGGGCTTCCTGACGTCCTCTCTGTAAGCGTGACCTGTCGGGTGAGACTTTAGCTGCGTCTTCAACTTTAAATTCTGCAGTGCGGACTGTCTCTGGTGAAGACAGGAAATTCAGCGTTCACCAGGTCTGTCTCAGCCAGTTCACCTCCATCAGAGCACACGAGTCACGCCCAGGACTCACTCCTCGCAGGGCAGGGGCCGTGACCTCCCCCCTCAGGTGGGTTCCTGCTGTCACGCCCCTGTGGTCCTCAGGTGGGGCAGATGGCACATGGGGACACGGACGCCCACGCGAGACACAGACGGTGGGCCAGCCCTGCCATGCCGCCCTCAGGACAGCCGGGTCCCAGAGGGGCCGCACTGGAGGCCGGAGGGCAATGCGCTGATCTGCCTCCCCTGGACTTGCACCAGAAGGCGGGGAGAGCAGGTATCACAGGAGTTAGGACTCCTCCCAAGGTGCCCCCTCTAGCGCCCCCCCCACCCCGGCCTCCCCAACTAGTGACCAGTGGAGCCCTCTGGGACCCTCAGCTTTTTACCACTGCCCTCAAGGATGAGCCTCAGCCACGTCTTGAGGTGACCCGGCCCCTCAGAGGAGAGTGAGTCTCAGGAAAGGCTACACACGCACCGATTCGGAGGACACCGGGGTTCCCAGAGCCGGCACTCGCCTTACGGCTGGAATGAGCCTGAGGAGGCTTCTTAGAGCCCCGAGGGCAGGCGGGCCTGGACGGGCACAGGACCTGGGACGCAGACCCGGCCTCGGACAGCATGGTGCTGGTGCAGAGACCGTCTTCCAGAAACAACGGCCGTGCCCGGCTTCTTAATGCCCCAGGGAATCTGGCGTCTAACGGAAAAACACCAGCTACGTGTAGGGAGACAGAAGTCTGGGCTTCTTGATAAAAGGAGCCGTCACTCACTAAGACCAGCTCCCGGCCACCTGGACACTGCACCTCATTCGGAAGCGTGGGCCTGCCCCTGGGGGCACAGGCTTGCTGGCGTGCTCTCGGGGCTGCAAGCCCGTCAAGGACATCACGAGGGGCGGGGGAAGGCCCAGGGCCCCCCAGCGGCGCCGGACCCACAGGTGAGGACAGACGCCTGGCGGCCCGTGCTCGAGTCAGCACGTCTCAGGAAGGACTCCCGGTTAGAGACGGCGCCGTCAGCCACGAGACGGACCGTGTGCTGCGTCTGGGCCGGAGGGAGACTGCTCACTCTCGCAGCCTCTCGGCCCAGCCCGGGGCCCCAGCAGCAGAGATGGCAAGCTGCTCAGAGCGCGAGCACAGAAAACAGAAAGTGAGGGGGAGGACCCGACAGACTACAGTTCAGAAACGCTCCCAAACCAAGAAGCTGGCTCCTCCCACCCATCCCTCCCGAATTCTCCCGCAGCGACCTCACTGGCTGGGGCCTGTTTCTAATAAGAGGAGGAGCCGAGGGCGCCGTGAATTTACAAGGCCGTCCTGCAACCGGACGGGGCCAGGCTGGTTTTGATTTTTGAAATGTAGAGGCTCTCGAAACACCAGCAGCTGGCTTAGAAAAATCCCCACAAAAGCTTTTAGCTTGGAGTTACTGGGAGTTCAGGAAAGTGGATAATTAAAACCAAACTCCTCTGACCAAGTTTAAAATAAAATCGTGGCTCTGGAGGCTGGGCCCAAGGGAGAGGGACAGACCACATCACGTGCCCACGCCGAGACCAGCGGGCTGACCCCAGAGCCGTGGGAAAGCCTGCTTCCGCGCTCCCTGGACAGGACGCAGCGGGCGCCAAGCCAGCATCTGCCTTGCGCTCAGACAAGGGCCCACCGCGCACCTGGCTGCATCGAGAACGTCCACCAACACGGAGCCTCCCAGAGCCCCTCCCCGCACAGACACAGCCTCGCGCTCTGGGAAGCCTGAACAGACGGCCCGGGGCTCCAGCTCTGAACAGGGCCTTCCTGAGTCCAGACTGTCCCAGCATCTAGACTACACGTGGGGGTGGGGAAGGAAACTGTCCCTCTGTGCAGAGACGCAGGGTCAGGCGCTTCCTGAGTCTGGGGAGGGGTGTCACCAGGTCTCCGCCGGACCAACTTCTCTTCCACACCTGCTGTCTGTGGGGGCCAGGACCCGCCCCGCTGTGCCCCCACTCAGGCTCCTGGCCGAGCCCCTGGGCTGTTCCTGTAGCCCCCGCCTCCGACAGGGATGCCTCACGCCCGTCACAGTTGTCTGCTCCCCTGCCGTCAGCCCGGCATGCCTTGTGCTCAGGGCTGGTGGCTAGGTCAAGCCCGCTGCGCCAAGGGCCGCGTGCCCAAGACGCAGTCCAGGGAGAAACACGTGAGCATGGTCGCAGGCCCCAGCCCACGCCGGGACAGCAGCTCGGGATGTTCTGGAAAGCCCCACGGTGAGAGACTTGGAGGAGCTCATCCCGCACCCCAGGGCAGGAAGCGTCCACAGCACACGG